TAATCTTTTGAGTAATACACAGAAGAGCAAAACAGATGAACAACATGTCTTTGTCTCATCACCTGATTCGTTCCTGATTTACAAACTCAGAACTTCTTAGTGTTCTAACTCTACCAACCCTCACAAAGTCCAGTTTTACTTGGAAAGGAAGCAATGCTAGATAAGAGGTTTGTGCTGTCCAAGCGATACAAAGTAGAAAACCACAGAGTGAATTCCCTTCCTAACAATCAAGCTTGAAGACTAAAAGCTGGAAGCTTCTCTATGATTTAGACTTTACAAACGAAGTAAGAGCCGTTCCTTATGCTAATTTGCACAAAATATGCAGTGGCATGAGATATTTTCTGGTTTGGGTTTTAGGGAATGACTAAGAGAATGCTTCTCCATTCTCTAACGTAACAGATTGTGAAGGGTGGTTTAGTAATTGTGATTACATTCATTAATGTATGTTGCATCATCTTTACAGTTTTATAATCACTAGTTCAGTCCTCTTGCAATAAGGGGAGGAGAGGAGCTTTGGGACACGAGGAGGAGAAAATGAAGAGTTTTTCTCCTCAATTTCCCCCCTAACTTTTCAAGGCCCACATAGAACTCTTTTCATATTTCATTATATTTACATTCTTTCCTCAAAGCCTTTCATTCATTATTGAAAGGAATCCAGACCAGGCCAACAAGAGTCACTGACATTCTTCTAAAAAAAAAAAAAATGTTGGTCTTTTTGTAGAAGTATTTACACACAAGTTACATAGGTATTCAAAACATTGTTACGAGGCAGGGACACTTCATGAAGGCCTTAAGAGTACTCTTGATAACAGGAAAGCAGGCACATGATGGTTGAAGATTTATTTAAAAAAAGAAAAAAAGAGTTTGTGACCAGCCTGGGCAACAAAGCAAAACTCAATCTCTACAAAAAATAAGTTAGCCAGTGACCAACCTGGCCAACAAAGTGAAACTCCATCTCTACAAGAAATAAAATAATTAGCTGGGTGTGGGGGCGTGCACCTATACTCCTCGCTACCTGCTCACTTGAGCCCAGGTAGTAGAAGCTGCAATCAGCTATGACTGCATCACTGCATTCCAGCCTGGGTGACAGAGCAAGACTCTATCTCAAAAATAAAAATAAAAACAAGGAAAGAAAAAAAGGCTATATGTCTCAACAAGAATTATACTACTGCTTTGATTTTCCTTACTCACTGAATCTTATTCAAATACTCTTAAGGAAGTTAACAGTTAATAATTCTTTTTTTTTTTTTAAACAGTTAAGAATTCTTAATAAAACAAACTGGACAACAACCTTTTGACTTGGCAAGAGTTTGGGTATCTGCCCTGTAATTTGTAATGAAAGTGAACAGTCTCTTCATAACGGTAAACTTATAAAAAAAAAATCACAGAAATACTTCACTATTCAAATATTTCAATAATTTGCTATTGAAACTCTGCTTTGACCCCTGAACCAAAGATACAATCCCAAACCCAAGATAATCTGTACATTTCATCTCCTGTTTTCAGTTGTGCAACTTTACCCAACAAAATACTTCGACTTATCAGCAATTTGGACAGTACTAGATGCCCAAGTTGTTTTGCCCAGTACCCAAAAATCACTTCAAGGAATCAATGAGGCCTCTTGTTTTCTTCAGTCCAGTATTGTGTAATGAGCTAAAAAAACGAACAGAGTAAGAGGCAGGAAGGGAGTAATTAAATACGGCATTATCTAAAAGCTTTTCAGGAAGCTCACCCTATCTCACATAAAATACTACCTAGCAGATTTCCCAAAGCAATATTTTGATATCCCATGCAGCCTGAGTGTAATTCCACCTCTGTAAGAGCCAGAGTCAACCAGGTAGGAACAAATTGGCCAAAGACATCAAACTCGTCATAGGTCTGTAAGACACCAAGACAAACAATGACATATGGCTCAACCCCCTTTTTTTTTTCTTTTTTCATTGAGACAGAGTCTTGCTCTGCTACCAGGGCTGGAGTGCAGTGGCACAATCTCAGGTCACTGGAACCTCTGTCTCCCGGGTTCAAATAATTCTCCTGCCTCAGCCTCCGAGTAGCTGGGATTACAGGCGCCCGCCACTATGCCAGGCTAATTTTTGTATTTTCAGTAGAGAGGGGGTTGGTTTTTCACCTTGTTGGCAGGCTGGTCTCGAACTCCTGACCTCAAGTGAACCATCCAACTCGGCCTACCAAAGTGCTGGGATAACAGGCGTGAGCCACCACGCCCTGCGTGGCTTAGCCCTTTGTGTTGTTGTTAAAGGGGTCAAAGGAAGATGAAAATCCCTTTGCGTTCAGTGAAATTATGTACACCTACCAAGTATCTTCACTTGTAAGAAAACTGCACAATTAAACAGAATACTACCAAGAGACAGAAAGGTGGGTCACCTTTGTGCATCAGGTAGAATAACACAGACAAAATAAGACACATATACACCAGCAGGACCACTAAAAAGAAGCCTGGTTCTGGACCGCTGAAAAGAAGTCCCGAAAAGAGGCTGCGCGTTGGCTCACGCCTGTAATCCCAGAACTTCAGGAAGCCCAGGCGGGCGGATGACGTGAGGTCAGGGGTTTGAGACCAGCCTGGCCAAAATGGCGAAATTTCGTCTCTACTAAAAATACAAAAATTTGCCAGGTGGGTGGCGGGCACCTGTAGTGCCAGCTACTCACGAGGCTGAGGCAGGAGAATCCCAACCAGGAAGCGGAGGTTGCAGTGAGCTGAGAAAACGCAGCTACACTCCACCTTAGGTGACAGAGCCAGACTCCAACTCAAAAAAAAAAAAAAAAAAAGGCACCTGACAGGCTGAATGTCAGAACCTCAGCTTTGCTCCCAGCTGGCTGTGAACTTGGACACAAGGCCCCTTAATCAAGACCTGTTTCTCTACTGGTAAACAACAGAAGGCAGCTAGCTAGCTCTGAAGTTTCTTCCCATTCTAAAATCCAAGCGAGTACGCTAAACACGGGCAAATAACTTAAAATTGCATAGGAATATGTGATACAAATAACGTTTAAAGACACATACATTCATCCTAATTTGCTGCGGGAAATAATATAAACATCTTACATTCTGTAATATATGACACTTGAAGGTCTTGGGAGCTAACCCATCAAAACCTGAAGCAGCAGCATCCATCTTAAAACATCCAGATTCCATCCCTACCTGGTGAGGGCTGCAACTGCCTTCCCTGGAATAATAATCTTCAGGCCACATTGGAAGAACCTCCCTGTTACGAAAGACACTGCACGACCTTTAATCAACCAAGTGGTTTTGAAAAGACATAGTCTGGCCACATGCTCACTGCCCCCACTACCTCTTTCCCCAGAGATGAATTACAAAGGTTAGGCAAGAATCCTTCCAAGAAGGCTCCTGGCTCTCACAACGCCTGACAAAAATGTGAGGACCACACGTCTGAGCAGCGGAATGTTAAGAAAAGCCCCTGGCCTGGGTAGTCCATCAGCTCTGCCTGTTGACTTTCAACTGCCCGACTGCGTTTCTAATTCCGTTTCTTTAAATGCATGACCCCAGACTCCCTGATGTGTGCAGTCCTGGGTGGTTCAGGAGGCTGCTCTCAGGTTTACTGGGCACACAACCCCATCGCTTAAAAAAAAAAAAAAAATTACTTGGGCAACTTCGAGAAATCAAAAAAAGGAAAAAGGAAAAGCAAGGCACAGCCTCTCACCCCACACGTGACAAGCCACCCCTAGACCAGTAAATGAATTTTCCTGACGACCATGTGGCAACAAAGGAATGCTCGCTGGGGGCTCCCGCGCCCGCCAGACGCTGCCCGCTCGCGGGCCCCGCACACCTGATCCTTGACACGTCCCACGGCCGCCGCCCGCCCCACCCCGCTCCTGCGCGTCCATCCCCCGGCGTCCCATCCGCACGTCCCATCCCGGCCCACGTCCCCTCCGCGGCCCGCTCCTCCCACCCGGCCTCCCCGCCCCCCAGGCCCGCCCCCGTCCCGCCCCACCCGGCTTCGCTGCTGGGGACCCCCCACACCAGGGAGATCCGCGCGACCTCCGCCGATCCCGGACCGCGAACCCAAAAGGCCCGGGGCCCCAAGATCCCAGAGGGCACCGGAGAGGCCCGGAGGAAGGCAGACGCCCCTCCTCCTGACAGGTGACGGGAGCTGTCAGTCACCCGGACATCCTCGGCCTGGGCCAATGGGCTGCCTTCTCCTCCCGCCTCCCGCGCCGCGCCGGTGGCGGCGGCTGGGGCGGCTCCTCCTCCCCCATCCCCTTCACCGAGCCCTCGGCCCCACACTCACTGTTGAGGCCGGCCGGCGGGGGCAGAGACTGGTCACTTTCCTCGCAGTTGTTGTTGTTATTGTGCAGGGGTGGCGGCGGCTCGACTAGGTGGGACATTGTCAGGCGGGTGGCAGGGCTGCGGCAGCTGCAGGACTGTCTCCGGCTCTCAGGCAGCAACACAACAAGCCGAGTCCCCCGCCCCCTTTTCTGCGCTTGCGCCGTCCCTCCCCTCCCCTTGACGTCAGGGCCCGCCCAGGCCACGTGATGACAACACAACAGGCGACCGGGCGGGGCAAGGGCGTGTCCCTGCGGGCCCCGGAAGTGGAGACGCGAGACTTAGGCTGACGCGCGCACCAGGAACGAACTCTTGCGTGTGACTTGGAATGACCGGATGGGATGAGTGATGCGGGTGGCACTGGGAGAGAAGATGAGGAGAAGCGGAATGAGGAAGTGCGCTTATGTGTTAGCGCCCGAGCCTCCTCTCACGCGAGCTCCACACTGCTTCACCCAGCTCTGCGCATGCTTCTGTTTTCTACCTCTTAGGACTCACTTCTGCAATAGATGTCTTGGGGACACAAAGGAAGCCCCAAACCTAGGTGCCTCCACGAGTAAACTCAAGATAAAGCCGCTGAAACATCAACGCTCCATTCAGGAAACAAGGGAAGGCCGCCCCCAAATTTAATTGCTACAGACTTTAAAAAACGTCAATTACAAACACAGCATCATTGTAAAAAAGAGAGAGAGTGAAAGAAAAGGAAGAAAAAAGAAAAATTCAGGAAAACAGAAGAGAGAAAGAAAAAAGAGAAAACAATCAGGAAAACAGAGGAGAAAGTAATCACCCAAATCCCATGCCCTAATCGATTTCTGGGACATGACGTGGGAAGCCGTTTATCCTGTACGTGGGTAACATTAAATGTTTTCCAAAACATACCTCCTGCTTCACATCTCCGGTCTCCTTGGCCTGATTTATGAGCGATATACATTTCGTGTTTGTCCAGTCTCCTTGGCCTGGTTTATGAGTGATATGTTTCTCTCAGTCTGTAACTTGTCTTTTAATATTTTTTTTCACTCTGTAGAAGCTTAAGGTTTTCATGTAATCAGATTTGTCATTCTTACACGGCTTGAGGAGACTTTAACACCAAGATTATTAATCTACAATTCCCCTATAACTTTTTCTAATTCTCTTAGAGGCTTAAATTTACATTTAGAGCTCTAATCCATCTGAAATTTATTCTCCATATGCTGTAAATTGTTTAACTTCAATTATTCCCAGTTTTGTAGCCCATTGATCCAATAATACTAATTTTAAGCCATCCTGTCTACCCTGATTTGAAATTGCACCTTTGTCACTCTCCGAATGCTCACAAAAATGTGACTGTTTCAGGGCTACCTACAATACCTCTGTTAGCTAACAAACTTTGTCTGCATTTGCCTTTTTCAGATGTTAATGACTATGCTGCAGATAAACTTAAAAGTGGACTTGTCCAAGATTGACCATATGTTGGTAATTATTGAAGCTAGGTAGTACATTAAAGTATTCCTCTAGTTTTTTAAATATATTTGAAAAATTCCACGCTAAAAGGTTTTTTAAAAAGGATTGATTTATCAAATCCCTTTGCAAACTCTTAAGATTTTGGTCAGAAATGAACTCGATTAATAGATTAATTGAGGGATTATTGACATATTTATAGAATTGTTTTCCCAGTCAGTACTACGAGATCCCACTTTGTTCTATTTTCCTTTTAGGAACTCCTTTTAAAAGGTTTTAAACATTCAAAAAAGTTTTTATTAATCATATGCTATTTTATTTTATTGAGACAAGGTCTCACTCTGTCACCCAGGCTGGAGTGCAGTGGTGCAATCATGGCTCACTGCAGCTTCAGCCTTCCAGGCTCAAGTGATCATCCCACCTCAGCTTCCCCAGTAGGTGCAACTACAGGTGCCTGCCATCATGTCCAGCTATTTTTTGTATTTTTTGTAGAGATGTAGTCTCCTTGTGTTGCTCAGGCAAGTCCCAAACTCCTGGGCTTATGGATCCCCCTGCTTCAGCTTCCGAAAGTGCTGGGATTACAGGCATGAGTCAACTCACCCAAGTTACTATATTCATTTTATTGAAAATAATTAGAAAGTTTCCTTGACACTGAAATTACTTTCTTTAAGGAAATATTGTAATTCTGTACAGAAGGACTGGGGCCTGGTGCTTTTAGGAAAGCTGTTTCTATAGGATGTTACCTTTATTTCTTATTTTATGTTGTTTGTCCTCTATTTGTTTCTTGAATATATTACCTAATCGTTTATCTATTTTATTGAGTCTTAAATTCCTGTTTCCTAATTGTATTTTCCCTAATTCTAATTTTTTAACAGCTCCATTGGAATATATTCCACATACTATACAATTCATCCGCTTAAAATTCACAATTCAATGTTTTTTACATATTCACAGAGTTGTGTAACCATCATAGTCTAACTTGGGAACACTTTTGCCACCCCCCCCTCCCCCGCCATGAAAGGCTGTACTCATTGGCAGTCACCGTCAACCTTTCCTAACTTCTTAGATCTGGTGTTTATTTCATTCTTTATTAATGTGGGTATTTAAGAGTTTTTCCCTGGTCAGATTGGGTTTTTGTACTATTTTCAGTTTGGGAGTATTTTTTTTTTGGTGACCTTTGGGGCCTAACTTGCGATCCCTTTTGGGGATTATTCTGTATTTGAAAAGAACGTATACTTTGTGTTCACAAAATCAGATTTGATATATCTGTTGGAACACCTAATGTCATTTAAGTTTTCATACAGCTGATTATTTTCACCCCTTTATATGTCATGGATTTCAAGAGGTGAATTTGCATCTCCTACTCCTAGTATGTTTCTTTCTTCTTGTATCTTCATTCCTTATAGTTGATGCAGATGTTCATAACTATCCCTGTTTATCACTGTAACATGGTCATAATTTTGTCCTCAGTTCAAACTCAGTATTAAGATAATTGTTTGGGTTTTTACTATTATTGTTGCTTAGTTGTGTTCACCTGAGATTTTAATTTTTGTTCAGTTAACCTTTATATATATTTATATAATCCTCCCAATCCTTTTCCTTAGTCAAGTTTCTTTTAATGCCCAGCAAGGAACGTCCACCTTTACCTCTGCTACCCATTTTTTAGTTGATCTTTTTTTCCCCCTCACTCTGTCACCCACGCTGGAGTGCAGTGGCAGGATCCCATTTCACTGCAACCTCCGCCTCCGGGTTCAAGCGATTCTCATGCCTCAGCCTCTTGAGTAGCTGGGATTACAGGTGTGTACTACCACGCCCAGCTTTTCTGTATTTTTAGTAATAAAGATGGGGGGGGGTCTCACCATGTTGGCCAGGGTGGTCTTGAACTCCTGACTCAAGTGATCCACCCGCTTTTTTTAAGATGGGGTTTCGACATGTTTGTCAGGCTGGTCTCAAACTTCTGACTTTGTGATCCACCTGCCTTGGCCTCCCAAAGTGCTGGGATTACAGGTGTGAGCCACCACGCCTGGCCCCTTTTCTCATTTTAGATATAGATGTACTTCTATTACTTGATTGTGGCAATAGCTAGGATATAAATACTGTTATTATGATTAATTTTGATAAGGTAATAAACTTGAGTAATAAAAAATTTACTTTTTGTTATTTTATGATTTGAGACAGTTTCATTCTGTCACACAGGCTGGTGTGCACTGGTGTTCCTGGATGATATAGTGAAAACCCATCTCTACAAAAAATACAAAAGGGTGTGGTGGTGCATACCTGTAGTCCCAGCTACCCGGTAGGCTGAGGTGGGAGGATCATCTGAGCTCAGGGTTAAGATGGTAGTGAACGGTGATCACACCACTGCACTCCAGCCTGGGTGATGAGTAAGACGGTCTCAAAAAAAAAAAAAAAAAAAACAAAAAACCGATGTGGGGTCTGCAAGATGTTTTACTATTATTTTGAGCATTGACTCCATTATACCATACCCATTATGAGTAGTTTTGCCTGGTTTGGTCTTACTCAAATGGTTACCAGGTCCCAACATTTTGGGAAGTGGACTCGGGAGGAACACTTGAGCCCAGGAGTTCAGTCAGGCTCAGCCTGGGCAACATCTACAAAAACTTTTAAAAAGTTAGCTGGGTGTGGTGGCAGGTGCCTGTAGTCCCAGCTACTTGGGAGGCTGAGATGAGAGCACTGATTGGGCCCAAGAGGTTAAGGCTGCAGTGAGCCATGATGAGGCCACTTCATTGCAGCCTGGGTGACAGAGTTTAAGACCCTGTCTCAAAAAAAATTACCATTATTTTATATTTTCTTTACCTCACAGGGTCCCTAGTGTGGCACTCCAGCATATCCTAACCGTTTTGCTGTTACTTGACAACTACACTACCTGCTCAGTCAATCTTTGTAGGGACTGCTAAGGTAAGCATTGGACAGCAAAAGTTTGATACAGATTTAGGCTAAGAAACTAACGTTTTCAAAGATACTGTAACAAAGCAAAATGGTTTTTGACAAACTCTAATTATGATGCTTCATTCTGTTAACACTGCTGGGCAACTTAGTGAATAGAGCAGGAATATATTTCATTTCTGAAAACGGACAAACGTTCTCCTTATAGTGACTCAGTGATATGACCTTTGATAGAACGATATTTAATAAATTATCACTAGTGAATTCTACCAAACACTGAAGGAAGAAGTTACACCAATTTTGTCCACATTCTTCAATAATACAGGAGAGGAAAATTCATTTTATGAGATCAGCATTGGACAGTCACCTTAAAATATAAAAAAAAATTGTGGATCAATATCCTTCATGAATATTGATGCAACCTACTTGCAAAATATAAAAATCAGCTGGCCATAACCAAATGCCCACTCTGATGTCATGACTTGTACTACTTCTAGTTACTTTATTGTAGTACAATGGAATGACATCCCAGTGAGCATTTGTGTCCCCCCTCCACTAGGTTCTCAAATATTTACTCAAGGGCCATAGAACAGTAGTTTGGGGCAAACAATGTGCTGTATTTGGGCCCTGATTTTGTTTTTAATAATGAAGCCCTTCCTATACAGAGACTCCCGCTTATACATTCTCAAAAATACCTCACCACTGCTGTTCAAGACTTAACGATCGCCCCCTAGTGGTTTATTAAAATATATTTCTTTTTTGTTTGTTTTTTTTGAGACGGAGTTTTGCTGTTGTTACCCAGACTGGAGTGCAATGGCGCAATCTCGGCTCACCACAACCTCTGCCTTCTGGGTTCAGGCAATCCTCCTGCCTCAGCCTCCCGAGTAGCTGGGACTACAGGCACGCGCCACCATGCCCAGCTAATTTTTGTATTTTTAGTAGAGACGGGGTTTCACCTTGTTGACCAGGATGGTCTTGATCTCTTGACCTCGTGATCCACCTGCCTCGGCCTCCCAAGTGCTGGTATTATAGGCGTGAGCCACCGCGCCTGGACCTATTAAAATATATTTCTTAAGATATTATATAATTTGTAGAGATGGGGTCTTGCTTTGTCGCCCAGGCTGGTCTCAAGTGATCCTCCCACCTCAGCCTCCCAAAGTGCTGGGGTTACAGGCATGAGCCACCGCTCCCCACCACTGCCCCCTAGTGGGAAAGTCCTCAACGAACGTGTTGCTATTCAGATTACAAAGGAGCATGAGTAGAACATTTGAAAAAAAACACAAATAGTAGTAGCTTTTCCCCTTATGGCAGTTTGTTTGCCAAATTCCTTTTAGAGGAAATTAAGCGTTGTAGTGCCTTCTCTTTGATAAGCACTGAGCTAGAGAGAGACTTAACTTTAAGCTTGTAAAGTGGTGTTTCTTAATTCTAATAGAGGTAAGATGTTACAGTCTAATACCACTGTGCCTAAAGTGTTGAGACAAACTTGATTACAAAAATATCTCTGCCATCTTGAGAACACCTCAACATTCCATAGAATCGCTAAGCATTTTATTGATATTAAAAGAGTTGTAACGTTCTGATCTCATGCATCATTACAAAAAGGAGGGTCATTTCCCAAGGCTTTTTTTGGAGGGGAAGAGGTGCATAAAGCCCCCTTTTTAACCATGGTAAGACATACACACAGAGCTTAAACTATCACCATTTGAACAGATAAAAAAGATACTAAAATAGAGGTGCTTTCAAACGCACAAGTAACTGACTTGATTCTTGACTACCCAGCATATGCCTATCTTTCCCATCTTTTGCAGGGCATTGGTTTTGTTCTTCTGGAAATACACAATACTATCTAAATTTGAATTTCTGTGTAGTAGAAAAAAAAGATAAAAATTGTTTATCAGCATGCATAGTTTTCACATGTGCACAATTTCCTAATAAACACCTTACTCAAAAAATAGTCACACACTGAACCTGCTTTCCTCTCTCTAGCTTAATAACTCACATTTAAGGTTTAAAAAATTCGCAATTTGAAATGAAAAAATTGCATAGATGCATTGTTTTTTAAATTCCAAGAGATAGAAGGCTGCACACAAGCTTACCATCCAGCAGTTAATGGTTAAACATGTGTTTAGACAGATTTATAAAATAATTCTTCCTGCCCAGCCACTAACTAGAGATAAAAAGTGGTTAATAGAATGAAAGTCCATTCCTACCACAATCTTTTCTAAAAGGTTAAGAGAAGGGATGGAATATATATGCATGTGTATTAATGGCAAGAGAATAGGAAATACAAGCAACTTGACAAGACTAAGTTTATTCTAAGTATAATTTTTATTAATAAAAAGATTAACCATGGCCATGTAAAATGAGTGGCTGGGCTTATAGTTTGCTACACCAATGAAATTAAAAAATTAATACTTGAGAATGTTAACAATAATTTATAATAGCATTCCTTGATAGAGGCATTTTAATTTTAGCAATAATTTCTCTTAAATATATAAACTAATCATTAGTGTAATGGAGGAGAATCATCATAGCTACTGATTAATCAAAAAAGAATTTCTGAGAGCTGTTTGGTGGTGTTATTTCAAGACATACAACCAAGTTGTAGGAAAATCTCCCAAAAAGATCTGGAAAGCTGTCCAGTCAGAACAGAGGAAGAGTATCACTGTTTGACACTCTGACAGGGGAATATCCCACTTGCAAGTCAAGTGTGAAGAATAAATAACACAAATTAAGAATGGACCCAAGATCCCCAAATAAATTAGTAATAGTGCCATTAAGAATTATCAGACATAGAATCAATGTGTTCAAATACAAATTCAAATTTGTTAAGTCCAAAAGATACAGTAATTTTATTACATAAAATTTCTTCTGTGTGCTAAAAATGTTAACTTACAAGACATAATATTCGTAGTAGTGTAGAGGGAATCACGGTCGACTCATTTGATTCTTTTTCATTATTGAATAGAAATAGGTAGTGGACATAGAAGCACTGAGTCCTCTGAAATTCAAGGTTGTTATATTACGTTCAACCAAAATAAGACTACCATTCTCTAATAATATAAATGCCTGTTCAATTCACCTTTCAAAAATAAAGTCCATTTCTTCTCCATTAAAGCTTCTGCAAGACTGACAAAGGTACATTCTACCTATTAAAAATAGGAGCACTCTTCATCTTTGGATAAGATATCACCATTTAGGGAAAATGTACTCATATACAGATGACCAGATTTTTACTTGAGGCAGCTGTTGGGAGTTCATTAAGCACTTTTTGAACGCTGTACCTTTAAAAATTTGTCTTTAATATAGCTTTGGAAAACCAAAAATAGAAGAAAAGTATCTATGGTAAAGTATATTTCATTCTGATAGCAGTAAAATACAAAAAAAAAAAAAAAAAAAAAAAAGGATTTAATGCAGTGTCACTTGATGTTAGTTTTCTGCTCTATGAATGACAAAAAAACTTTTAACTTGTTAAAAATGTTTTAGAAGTCTTTGACTTAGTATTTAGTAAGGCAAAAATGAAATTAAGCACTGTAGAAAGTATTTAGAAATTAAGTTCTACAAATTTGGTTCCCATTTACAACAATTTCATTAAGATACTGAGTTGAGATAAAACGTATCCAATACTGTCATGACATCGGTAAAAAGAAAAAATTCTAATATCATTTATAGATTGTGAAATCCTTAATAAAACCAATATATATTCAAAATATGTTCATACATAACCAATACCTCTCCTTCTGCATGTAAAAGAACACTTGTTAAAAATAATTAACAAAAATACCAATAAAACAATGAAAACCCATTTTGTTTCACTGTGCCTAAAATATGACACAAAATATTGGCTTTAAGAGGTAGGTTAAAAAGAAAAAGAAAACCAGATTCTCCATTCTTTGTCACTTTTATTCAGTAGTAGGTTTTTTTCCTTATTTTCAGTGCCAGACACGGCGAGGAGTGATTACAGCCAACTGTTATGAAAACATTTGTTCGCAACATATACCCCTTATACCACTGACCCCAAACTGACTCATTTTGTGTGCTTTCATTCTTTCTTTTTTTAATATACCACCACCAAGACCGGGTGGAGGGGCAAGGGTAAGAGAGATGAAGGGGAGGAGTCCAGGAGGCCAGAAGAGGAGGAATGCTACAAGCCACAGTAAGAATGAGCTGTATTTAATTTAAAAAAAGGGGGACGGGGTGTACCCCACAAATGATACAGTAATGAGGATACACAATTAAATCCCTTAGCATGACTGAAGGCTTTCACTGTGTTTGACGTCATCACAATGGAAGGCATAAAAAGTGGAGTAAATCAATGTTGATACAGTCCAATCTAGTCCATTAGGCAAGATGGTGCAATAAGTCATTTAAATTAAAAGTGCCCTACCCTTACCTAAATGGCTAGCAGACATGGAGAACACCACAGTGATGAATCCACAGAGCTTTCTCCATGTAGCTATAACAATGTGTTGTCGAATGGCACACTGTCAAACACTGGAAAGGGGTGCCACAATGGACCTCTCTCTTTTATAGGAACGAATGCTAGATTCAACTATCTCAACTAAGCAGGAAGTGGGTTCTTCTGCTAGGAATGCCAACCCTAATTCACTTTGTCTTGAAATATATACAGATTGTTTGTAGTAGCTACGGCAATGATATTTTCCTTGGGGTGCCAGGCTGTGTGAAGGATTTTCTTATTGAAGTCTAAGCTGTCAACACTTATTTCATCTTTCTTTCGCTTGCCGCTTGCACAGACTTTGCGGGGCTTCAGAACCGTGCGAGGCTTATTGTTTTCCCGCGATGCTTCTAGGGTTATGTCTCGCTTTGTGTTTCTGTCAAACATTCTGAAGAAATTATTGTAAGATCCAGTCATGACAACACTGTGAAAGCAGACAGAACACTCAGTCAAACAAGCAGGAACAAGAGTTTTTTTTTTTGTTTTTTGGAGATGGAGTCTGGCTCTGTTGCCCAGTCTGGAGTGCAATGGCACAATCTTGGCTCACTGCAACCTCCACCTCCCGGGTTCAAGCAATTCTCCTGCCTCAGCCTCTCGAGTAGCTGGGACTATAGAAGCGTGCCACTATGCCTAACTAACTTTTGTATTTTTAGTAGGGACAGGGCTTCACCATGTTGGCCAGCATGGTCTTGATCTCTTGACCCCATGATCCACCTGCGTCAGCCTCCCAAAGTGCTGGCATTACAGGCATGAGCCACCGTGCCTGGCCTCATTTTACTTTTACCACTAAAATTATTTTAAGCAAATATTTGTATAAGTATCAGTTTAAAGGGGTGGCAAAGTTTTTAAACTGCCCAAGACACTTCCTTATCAGTCCTACCTGCCACCCATTACTGCTCAACATTTATTAAGTATCCTGCAAACAGAACTTGGTTAAGTCCGAAGCTCTTAATAATTTGGAAAGGGTCTGCTGCTACCACTGCTTACCACACGGTTCAAATTATTACTGTAAACAAGGATTACCGGATACTGGGGAATTGTTCAAAGTATAAATGATTATCTATTTAGTAATGTCAATTCTTAAAGGACACTTGACAACAATTTTAATCAACCCCTGAAGACAATAAAACAATTTCTTTGAAAACGGTTTATGCAATTTAGATTGACATATCTGTATCATTTGAGTTTGTGAAGTTTTAATGGATTAGGGCACCTACTCTGTGGCTATTTGAAACTTTTAAAAGGTATCAATTAGGCCCGTATTTCTGTGGCATTCTTGCCAAAAATGTATAGTCCGAATCTAATCGCAAGGAAACATTCTATAAAATAACCAGCCTATGTTCTTCAAAATGCCGAGGTCACAAAAGATAAGGAGACTGAAGAACTCTTTCAGAATAAGGGAGAGTAACAAGAGATGACAACCAAACTCTGGATTGGATACTGAGCCACACCGACTCTTCTGCACCATAAAGGACACAGTTACAGTGACTTGTGAGTTTCAATGGGTCTGTGGATTAGATGGCAGTACTGCCTCACTGTGAACGCTGCTTTGGATGCTACACTGTCACTGTGTGGGAAAGGGTTTTTGTCAGGAAATACTAATTTAAGAATTCAGTGTAATGAGCATCATGTGTGGCAGACAAGTTGTGTGTGTGTGAGCACATGTGCATGCACCTGTGGACAAACACAGCTATAAATAAAGGAAGAATAAACCATCTGATACAGCAAACAGCAACAGGGGAACTTGGGTAAAGGCCAAATGAAGAGTTCTTTATTATTCTAACAAATTTTCTCTCAGTTTGAAATAATTAAAAAAAAAATTTTAAGATTAAGGAAAATAAATAATTTCCTTCTCAGGAAAGAACATACAGTCGCTAATTATCCTGCTTCAACAATACAAGGAAGACCTAGTGGTAGCAGTGCGCCACACCCTAGTTCAGGAGCTCTCTTCACATTTCTTAATCTTTTTTTCCCTTCTTCCCTTTCCTTCTTTCTTCTTGATGCCTCGGGTTTAGTAGTGCACTCAAAGGCAATGTTTGCTACCAATAGAGCTCTAGGTTTACTAGTCCTCATGTCAAAATCAGGTAATTTCAAAAGCCAGATGAAAGAAAACATTCTGTAAGTTTTTATCTTCTGTAACACATAACAGCATGAAACCTGAATCATATTAAGCTCTGTGATAAAACTGTTGTTAAATACAGTATCTCTAATTACCTTAAATCTAAGTTTAATTCCAAAATCATGTTTTCTTTTACTACTTTCTGTCCTACTGGAACCGAGTGGCAAACAGACAACTAAAAGACTCAAAGTTAAGACTTACTTTATCTTTAAAAAATGGTAACATTTTACTAAAAAGGAATCACACTATGGCAAAATTATTAATGATAAAAAGCAAAGGTAACTACTCCGAATATTTTAACCATATATATTACGGTTAACATAATACATACATAGCATACATATGCGTTACCACTTGTATGGGGTGTTAATGCAGCATCTGGAAAACTTGGTGCCGCTAACAATCCAAATGAATTATCTGCCACATGAATGCTTCTAGAACAGTTTAATGGCGGAATAACCACCAAACTGAAGCTTCATCATTTTAATGGTTAGCATGTCAGAAATATGATCTGGTTCATAAAAGAAAGAAATTTCTAGACATTTAAATAATTTAGAGTATCTGGAATTTGTGTACTTTTATATTTACTAGCAAAATACAATGCTTAATTCTTATCTGCCAGTACTGCTGTGCTGTATCAGATTACTGAATTTATTTCAAGGAATTCCTAGGGACAAATGAGGTTAGGCCTTAGAATGAAATAGTTAAGTTTCTTTTCTCTAATAAAATTCATATTTGAATGAGAGGTTTGACTTAAAATCAATTACCTGTCAGATCCATTCCAACAACATTCAAATTTGTCAAATATGCAGTCATTTTCATACAGTGAACAGAGTTTACTTCTGAGGTATTCATGCACCTACGGAAAAAATACAAATATACCGCAGTGAAATTAGGAAAATTATTTACCAAGTCCATATCTTTAAAAAGAGAAAAAAAAGCATATAGAGACACATACATGCACCTTTTAAACCTATTAATCTCAATCTTCTTAGTAACAATAAAGGCATTTTGTCCTTTTATAAACACACAAGCCCTTCAGGGAGGCACATTTATTTACTACTCGTATGACGAGGGAAAACTCCATTTTGGGTGTGACATGCATATTCTTTATAGGCCTGAATAAAACATTCAGGCGAAAAAACACTTGAAAATGGCACAAGTAAGAGGCTAATAAAAGAACATTACAGCAATATCTGAATATCACTATTGTTGGCTTTCAGTCTATTAACTACTGATAGCAACACTGAAACTGTACCTATTTCTTTCTTTCTTTTTTGAGTCAGTCTTACTCTGTTGCCAAGCTAGAGTGCAATGGTGTGATCTCGGCTCACTGCAACCTCCATCTCCCAAGTTCAAGTGATTCCCCTGCCTCAGCCTCCTGAGTAGCTGGGACTACAGACGCGTGACACCATGCCCGGCTACTTTTTTTGTATTTTAGTAGAGACGGTTGTTTCACCATGCTGGCCAGGATGGCCTGAATCTCCTGACCTGGTGATCCACCTGGGACAGCCTCCCAAAGTGCTGGGATTACAGGTATAAGGCACTGTATCCAGCTACCTATTCCTTTCTTAAATACCATTTTCTGAACATAAATTTAACTGAAGCTTGTCTTTTCAGTTATAAATGCACATATATGCATAGCATACCCATGCCTTGGTTTGGTGATAAATTATATGGTTATCCTGGGCATATAGTATTAAAAATTTGAAAGTATCAGATATTACTTATAATTAAATCTCATATTTAAAAAGTAGTCTGAGAAATTTGACATATTTCAACATTAATTACAAAGAAAAGTTCCAATGTATTTGTTGTAACTCAAAGGAAAAAACAAGTGTCTATTTCACCATCTTTTTAAGGAGCTACTTAAGGAGAAATGGCAGAAACGAGTAGGTGCCTTCTAAATGTTAGAATTTTCTATTCTATATGAAACAAGCTAAACTTATTTTCAGTGTCCATTTTAACTTTAAATATAGTGGAATGATTCAGGCCATGTCTGTAACATTAAGTGAAAATCTGTAATACAGAGAGAGGAATAACAACTCCCGTGGGGTTAGGATCAAAGGGGAACATGTAACATACCCACACACAAAACAGATAAATACCCTTCAGTCCCACAAAACCCAGCACAATGCTGGTACAAATTCAATAGAAGTAGTTGTATCTATATATGATACGTTTGCCTATAATGTGACTACTTTTAATCACTATGATTATAGGTAGTAAAGTAGCACATCAGGTGAAATTAGGTAGATCATCATAATTTAGCAACATTTTAGGATGCATGTTATAGGGTTTCTCACTATACATCAGTATGAAGCTAAGGTTCAAATCGATTATTCACAATGGGAATGAAATGGTGTGAGGGTAACTGGGAGATGATTTATCAATCCGGGCAGTTACACAAATAGAAGTCATTTCTCAGTATCCAAGAACCCCAGGTATACCCAAATCTGCAGTTAGCCCTTCACAGATGAAGTTTTGGCCCTCTATATATTTTAGGGGTTTGCATCCCTTAAATACTGTATTTTCAAATGTCCATAATGAAAAAAAACTCTGTGTATGAGTGAACCCATTCAGTTCAAATAAATCCGTGCTGCTCAATAGTGTATGAGTGAACCCATTCAGTTCAAATAAATCCGTGCTGCTCAATAGTTAGCTATACTTGGAAAGCAAAGCAGTATTTTGTCTTTTTGGCTTTTGTTTCACTGCAGTATTTATTCTGAAATTTCACATATTGAATCGAATCTTGGTTTATGTTTGTCAGAGGATTTAAAAGTTTGAGAAATGTACTTCTGAGTTTATTGAGAATATATAACATGACTAAAGTATAAGAATAAATTAAAATGACTTCAACACTGCAGTCTAGGACCTAGCACAGGTTTGTGCTGGCCCTCACCCTGTTCCAGGCTGTGTACTTCTTCATTCTCTTCTCTGTTTGATGTAGTGGACATGGATCAATAGTAGTGGCTGTCTGATAAGAGAATCAAGAACTGACATCCAACAACAGATAGACAACTCCTAAAGCCATCTGCTAAGGCTTTCAAGCCCTTCTCCTTTAGCAGAAAATAACAGTTATCTGCCGAAAGGCAAAACATAGTCCATTTGACTTGGCACACCAAGTTTAATCTCTAGTTCAACTATTCCCACAACCTGAGCAGGTGCACCTCTACTAGGACTGGCCACTTTCCCCAATCCCTTTCCTGCCCAGAACTTAATGAAGGGTGCTCTTCCTTCCTCACTTTAAATGTACATAGTGGCAGAAAAAAAATGTCAATACTGAACCAAATGGGTAGCAAAATCACTTTAACTGCAAAACTCAAGAGACGACACAACCTAGGTAAGTATATATACATTTAACATAAGGAAAAGCAACATAATCATAGATCTCTGAGGGAAAAGGCCTAATAGTGAACAAACACCATACAGGGATTAAAACCTAGTTAACAAAATCCTTCTCTATACAAAGTAAACAGGGTATATGCTCATTGAAAGAAAAAACTGCAAATACCTGGTATGTTTCCACAGGCCTGTTTTCCATATTTAAGTCCCAAATTTTGACTGACAAATAGTCTCTAGTCATCATATATCGACCACTATGGCTGAATTTTACATCCGAAATAGAGGAGATGATTTCGGAAAAAAATGACCTGTTACTGGGATCTTCAGGTTCTTCAAACACTAAAAACAAAACAAAACAACACAAAAAGGGCAAAGTGTACAATATTCTGGCTTGGACAAAGTATTTCCTAAACAACCATTCACAAACTCCCTACAAGTGAGATAAAATGCCAGGCTAATAAAGAACTGGAAAACATCTCTCTGGCTAGAATTCTCCTGAAAGCTTCTTCGGATAATTGAATACTGAAGTTGAAGATGCACAAGTATGCCGTATACTTCCAGACTCGTGTGACTAATTTAGAACCAGACTCACCTGGGACTTCTGACTTCAGTGCACCAGGTTTATTGGTATATTCCTGCAATACACCTCACTGACTGCCTATATCACCATTAGAAACACACCATCCTCGCCCATCCAAATTCACACCAGGATTTTATTTTCTAGTAGCCAGGTAAAATTATTTTGGTAACAGGCATGTATCAATTTTCATGAATTAATATTCAACAAGACAAGAATATTGTATCCTGAAGTTTTTAAACCAAAGTTTTTATTTATTTATTTACTTTTAAGCCAAGGAAACCTCTTCTCAGAAGAAATCTTCCTAGGAAGCTCAAAATAGGAAGGGAGGAATGAGGGAGGATGGGAAAAAGAAAGGAGCAGCTCTACTTGAATACAAAGTTAGAGGGCCCAACCACAAGTTCCCAAAGAACAACAACATACCACAAGAAATGCATTTCTTCGCAATCAATAGACATGCCCTCCAAGAGAGCTTAACTACGTGCTTCCAGGGAATAACCTGTAATGCCTCATGAGAAGGGAGGCAGATTACCAAGGGTACAGGTGGCTCTGGACACACAGCTTTAAGACTTGTAAACCTCTGTAATTACACTTATCATGTGTAAGGCTCATTTCAGACAAACAGAATATGTAATCATTTTAAGGAAAGACAAACTTACATTTTAATCATTTTAAGAAAAGAGAAACTTACATTTAGAATGTCTATCACAAAGGGCAGATGCCCTCATGTCACAGAGCCGAATAGTTCCTTTACTGCTGCTGTATACAAATGTGTTACAGCTGTTTGGATGGAATTCCGCTGCTGTAATCACCTCTGTTAGCTCTTCCATATTGGCAGGCTTGATATCCACAATGTCTAGACAGCATTTTATTAAGGAATTTCCACTTAGAAAAAAAGGGCAAATATAATTCTACATCCCTTAAACCTAAAATCCACTCACAGACCTAAGCACAAGTATTAATTCTGAATTGCATTCTACTCTTAAAGTGTATAAATTCCAAAGGGATTAAAACTTTTTTTTTTTTGAGACAGAGTATTGCTCTGTAGTCCAGGCTGGAGTTCAGTTGCGTAGGCTCGACTCACTGCAACCTTTGCCTCCTGTGTTCAAGGAATTCTCCTGTCTTAGCCTCCCAAGTAGCAGGGACTACAAGCACATGCCACCACACCTGGCTAATTTTTTGTATTTTAGTAGAGATGGGGTTTCACCATGTTGCCCAGGGTGGTCCTGAACTCCTGAGCTCAGGGAATCTGCCCCCTTCTACCTCCCAAAGTGCTAGGATTACAGGTGTGAGCTGTAATCTAGCACCCAGCCTGGGATTAAAACATTTAGTGCTAAAAACTACCTAAATGAACAATCTCAGAATAAAACACGCAAGTTTTAAATCACTGTAGCAGGGGTTCCCAACCCTTGGGCTATAGACTGGTACTGGTCTCTGGTCTGTTGGAAACTGGGCTGCAAAGCAGGTGAGCACTGGTCAAGCAAGCATTACTGCCTGAGCTCAGCCTCCTGTCAGATCAGCAGCGGCATTAGAGTCTCATAGGAGCTGAACCCCATTGTGAACTGCACATATGACGAATCTGGGTTGTATGCTCCTTATGAGAATCTAATGCCTGTTGACCTGGGGTGTAAGTTTCTTCCCGAAACCATTGCCTGACCACCCCATTCCATGGAAAAACTGTCTACCATGAGACCAGTCCCTAGTGCCAGTAAGGTTGGGGACCGCTGATTTTAGAGTACAGAGGTCTGTCCAAGCAGGGCACAAGTCTCAAAAGCCATAAAGAAATGATTGGTGATACATTTATCTTCATAAACAGTAAACAGTAACAGAATCCCAAAACGAAACCCTCAAGAGGGTGAAAAAGGAAAACTGCACCAAGAACAATAGAGTTAATTTACTTAACACAAAGTGCTTTAAAAAAATAAATATATGGCCGGGCGCGGTGGCTCATGCCTGTAATCCCGGCACTTTGGGTGGCCAAGGTGGGCGGATCACGAGGTCTGAAGTTCAAGACCAGCCAGGCCAACATGGTGAAAAACCCTGTCTCTACTAAAAATACAAAAAAATTAGCCAGCCATGGTGGCACATACCTATAGTCCCAGCAATTCGGGAAGCTGAGGCAGAAGAACTGCCTGAACCCAGGAGGTGGAGGTTGCAGTGAGCCAAGACTGTGCCACTGGACTTCCAGCCTGGGCGACAGAGTAAGTCACCATCTCAAAAAAATAATAAATAAATAAATGTATCCAGTGGGGTGGGGGGTGAGAACAAAATGAAATATAAATGTCTGATGAACATGAAAAGATGCTGATGTCTACGATGATTACAGAAATGCAAATAACAACAAGAGAACTCTGTCACTAAGAAGACTGGGAAAGGTGTAAGGAAACAGACTGTTATACACTGTTGGTAGGGTATGAATTATGTAAAGCTCTGTTAACTTTCAAATAGTATCTATTTGTACAACGTATACTAACAGCAGTAATAGCTGCTGATATTTACCAAGAATTTTAAAAAACATAAATATATTCATATACATCTCTATATGCAAATATATGCATGTGCACAGATACTATGTGTATCACACATCTGTATAGGCACAGAACTTGAGGAGTACAATATAAACAATAAAAATGAGGTTTGGAGAAATTTTTTCCATAGAATATTTTTATTGACCCAATCATGCATCACGACTTGCATGCATTTCTTTTTCTGTTCTTAATGAGACTATAATAAAAAATTCAAATAACAATATTCCATAATTTGATTAAAAGAAAAATTTTTTTTGAGACAAGGTGTTGCTCTGTTACCCAGGCTAGCGTGCAGAAGCATGATCACAGCTTACTGTAACCTTAAGTGATCTTTCCACCTCAGTCTCCCAAACCACTGGGATCACAGGCATGCCCTACCATGCACAGCCCTCAGAAATTGGATTTTCTATAACAAAAAAACTAAATTCTAAAAAAATTCCTATTTCCACAGATACAATAGACGAATTCCGTAAAATTCCATTAATCCAATTTTTAAATCAATACATTATACCCTTGTTTAGCAAATAACTTTCTCCAGTATTCCATTAATCATGTACAAAGAAAAAATAAGGTGCTATACATATACAGAGAGACTACAAAAATGAATCAATTCATGAAGGAGAGATGAAATAAATCCAATATGAGCACAACATGCCTTCTTCACCAAACACCAAAGAAGAAAACCAAATGGATACTAAAACTCCTGTCTGTAATTTCCAGATGCCAAAGATTAATCCGCAAATCATCTGCAGATAAATATGTTTCATAATCACTATTAATAGAGATTGAGTTGATGTGGTATGTATGAGCATTGGCAAATATTCTTCGTGGACTGGCCTCAACCATTAGATCCATAGGCCTAAAGACTGGCACCTGTCAATAAGACACATGAAAAACAGAAATTACAAAAGGCTTGGTTTCAAATAGCAATTACGATTCAGAAAACTTCATTTTAGTTTTTGAGAACATAAAATAGAACAGTATTACATAGATTTAATTTCAAAAAGCAACTGATGTTGATCCTTTCAAGTGTTGAAATGGGAAGAAGAAAAATGAACAACGTGGATAATGTTATCTTCTTTTACTGGGAGCAATACTATTATAATTTGAAGTTCTTAGTTCGAATTTCACTTGAAAGACATGCAAAGCTAATAAATGTTTATGGTTTAAAATAAAGAAGCTAAAAAGAAAATTAACCCGTAACATCCAATTCTTGGTATTTTTTTAGCTACAGCTAGATTTTATCTATTAACTACTTTTTTTATTTCCAAACAAAATTTATCTTGAAACTTGACCTTGTAATAGCTAACATTACAAACCTGAGACTCAGTCTGATGGCGTGAAACACTGTCTTGTGTTTTAGTCCTGCGTCTGTCCCTGGCCAAAGTGAAACCTCTAGGTAGGTCAGTTTCTGTGTTTAAAAGTGTCATTCAATGTTCTACCTGATTACAGAATTACTGGGAAAGGGGAGACAGATTGTAATTATTCCTATTCAAGCTCTGCTCAGGGTCTGAGTTATAGAATATGAACACAAACACTATTTGCGGCATTGTCTTCTTATGTACTTACTCGTAGTGTAGTAACTGTAGTAGGATCTCTATACCTTCCATCTTCCTCTTTCAAGTTATACCCTTCTGGTCTTTTGTCCCTTTCACTGATTTTCCATAATTTTATTGTTTTATCTGGGAAGAAAATAAAGTAACTCCTTAAAATAAAAGGGTAATACTGAAGAAGAAGAAAAACATTTTAAGGCATATAAAATGTGCTATTTCACATTTCACCTAAAATAATTCCATTAAAAAAACCTCTAATCTGACTTACTAAAAAATTTCCTATTATCAGCTGAATAAAACCATACACACATAGAAATAAAGAACAAAGATCACAAATTTCTACATTAAGAGCACTCATATAAATTCCATGTGATAGTCAAATCATGTCACAGCTAGGTCTCTATCCCTATCCCTTAAAAGTAATTAAATCTAGAGGGAAAAACTTCATATGCATGTGTGGTGTATGCAAACACATATGTCTATACATACATGTAAACATATACTCATATATGCTCAATGAATTTTTATAAAGTTAAAGGGAACAATGAAGTTGATTAGACTGCCAATATGTACAATCAAAATAGTAAAGCTGGTCTCCCTTGCTCTCACTTCTTAGCAGATCCTATCAAAGACTCCACAGAGGCCTCCAAAGGACTGGATGCCTCCTTTTTTAAACTTTCCCCCTCTTATCAGAGTTCATAAAGTAGGAAACAAGGTCTGTAGAAAACTGACTGATTAAAGGCATACATCCCCAAGTCCTTCAAGAAGACAAATTCCTGGGTATCAAGGATATATACAATGGCATCTGTTTAAAAACAAACTTTTCTTGACAGTTTTGAGTAGTGATGGTGAGGTACTTTGTAGAATATTCCTCAACTGGACTTGCCTGTTTCTTCATGATCAGACTGGGACCATGGGTTTTTAGGAAAAGAACAGAGAGGTGAAGTGACTTCTCACAGCACTGTTCAAGGGGATACATAGTATCAACATGACTTACAGTTGGTGGTGGTAACTTTGGTCATTTGGTTAAGATAATGTTTGCCAAGCTTTTCCACTATACAATTACTCTTTCACCCTTGCCATATGCTATTCTTTGGAAGGAAGTCACTAAAAGTCCAGCCCCTACTTAAAGGGAGAAATAAGTTAAACTCCCTGTAGGAAAGAGTGTGTATCCACATCTTATTTAGAATTCTGCTGCAGGAAGCATCCCTTCTCTCCATTTATCCATTCAATAATTCATTTATATCACTATAGGCTGATGTATATTGATTTAAAACTATTATAATCATAAAATACCATTCTTCTAGAAAAGCATCACATTCCTAATGATCTTCTGTAAGCAATGGGTGTAACAAAATTGTTTAAAACAGTATATAAAGCCATTTTATAAAAACAGTTAAAAACAACTGAGAGAGATACCAGTGACTCTAGCCTGGTAATCTCTGTATGGTAGAGAAGAATGATAGCTGCCCCTATGGATGCCCTTCTCGGTGATGAAGTATAAACAGAGAAAAGCTGCTAACGCTGATAATCTGTTATCTATTTTTCTTCTATGCCCTGGGTGATCTTGTTTATAACTGTCTTGTAGTTCAGTCATACAGGTTTTCTAGGTGCTATTTAGTTTATAAATGTATACAATTTATAGACAGGTATAAGCCTGGCCTAAATCTGTATTTTGAGAAATGTTTGTGGTGAGGATAACACCACCTCTGTCCCTGGCCCAACTGTCTTGTGGCCTGTTTAAATCCATCCTCCTTATTAAAGATCCAAATAAAGAAACCACAATGTATTTATAAAACTTTCAGATGAGATAAAATTAGTTTGTAGTAGCTAATAGTGTTTACAGAAAGAAAGCTCTTTAAAAATATTTTTTTTCATTAACACAAACACAGGACACATAAGAATTAGGATAGATATGTTATTTCAGTATAGTGGGGACAAGGCAGGCAGGAAATTGTTCCCCTGAATCAACACTGACAACTAAAGCACTGCAGAAGCTGCAGAAGAAGAGAGTTCCTCTCCCCACAAGCAGAGGGTATGAACAGGGAAAACCATGCTGCCGTTTCCTTTGAGGGAATGCAGCTTTAGGTAAGACCCTAAAAACTTCGTAACAAGACATTGTTAAAACACATCCTATTTATGAGTGACTTTTGTATTATTCATATATGTAAGACCCATGGTCAATAGGTGAGTTTCACGTTTTCTGCAGTGCATAATTGAGAGAGGCAAAAGAAGATTAAAGAGAATTAAAACACTTGAAGGAACATTAAATTAACTCAAGTAAGAAGAAGGTGACTATGAAGTCCTTTAAGTAAAAAATGGTCTGGGAAACCCAGTTCATAATATAATGATCATGGGAAGCCAATGCAAAGCTTTTTATAAGATTAATTTTGGTTAATCAAACCTGGAAAGTTTGGTACTATTTTCCACCATTCTCCACAGCTGTAGTTTTTATATACACCCATTACATTGGGAGGAGGGGGTGGTGGTGATACTATACTATAACTCACAGAGAAAACTACACAAAATAATATAAAAGATATCACTCAGAATCAACAGATGTTGTCATTTTTCTCTAAATTTCTCTCTTTCCAAATAGTTTTTCATATATAGTTCAAGTCCTACTCCTCCCATCCCTTTCCCATCATACCCAGAAACAATAGTTCAAACAATTCTCATAATCTGCTTTATCCTTCCACATTGGACCCTATTATTAAGCACTATTTTTAGCATTAAAAAATACAGTCCCCCCCCACCAGTTAGTTGTATTTAGTATTAAGCAACAAAACCCAAAAATCTGCAATGTATTCAATAATGTCTTTAAATAATATTTAATCCACACAAGTTGAAATACGATTTGCTTCCAAATAACAATGAGGAGGAAGGGAAGGAGAAGCATTCCAGAAACACACTGGCCATGAACTGAAGAGTGTCAAAAGTGGATGATGAGGATGTGGGTCTTCATTATACTATTCTCTTGACCTCAGCCTACATTTTAAAAGTTCTCTTTATAAAAAAGCTGATTTAGCCCTATAAGCAATAAACTGTCATAAAATATTCAAATATATAAAATGTAACAACACAATTCCCTACTAAGGACATTTACTTCTAAATGTAGAAATTATATAAATGGTTTAATTATGTATTATCTGATGCCATAGAACAGTGTCTCAAATATCTGAAATACTGAACAGTGCCTAAAATATCTGAAGCTATTTGAAATAACTTAATTTACCATATAAATTAAAACTGACCCAAGACTAGAAGCTAGCATATGGCAGAAGTAAACTGTTCCCTCCACCCATGGTGCAGTGAGTTACAGACTTCAAATAGTTATTTCTGTTTATTTTTCTTCTAATAAGGAGAGGGGAATGCAGTTTATTGTGTAAGAAGAAGGCAGAGGGTACAAATCTCAATGGACTGGCTGGGAGAGCTTTCATGATCCAGCTACCCAGAACCTAAAGGATGTCCTCAGTCACTCTATTGATTCCCTTTAGACTCAAGACCCCAACCAAGTCCAAACAATTCACAGGAAAAAGTTTTTTATAAGAACAAAGAAAGATTCCCTTTAGACTCAAAACCCCAACCAAGTCCAAACAATTCACAGGAAAAAGTTTTTTATAAAAACAAAGAAAAAGCACCTAATTCATCATAAAGGATTTTCTGATAGAGCGATTACTAACTTTTAATCCTCACTTAACTTTTCCTGGGTCAGGTGTGGTGGCTCACACCTGTAATCCCAGCACTTCAGGAAACTGAGCAGGGCAGACTTCTTGAGCCCAGGAGTTTAAGACCAGCCTGGGCAACATAGGGAGACCCATTCTCTACAAAATTTTTTAAAAAAATTAGCTGGGTGTGGTGGCACACAACTGTGGTCCCAGCTACTCAGGAGACTGAGTAGGGGAGGTTGAGGCTGCAGTGAGCCATGATTATACCACTACGCACCAGCGTGGGCAACATATATTGTCTCAAAAAACAAACAACTTTCCTGGGCAAGTACAAAAGGAGAGGAATCTCCTTCCAGCCATGAGGATTGCTGGGAAGAAGGCAATATGCTAATGGCAGTCAAGTAGGAGTGCTCTCCTGAAGAGTATCCTGGAATGAAGACCGTCCTTTGAGTATTTTCTATCTGTAGGCTGAAACACTCCGTGTAGTTTAGGAACACCTAAAAAGGATGACTCAATTGACATTTATTGAGCACTTTCACTCATGATGTACATAAAGAGTTATTTAATATTCATAATAATATTTAAAATTACTATCTCTAGTTTGCTGCTGATGAAAACTCAATTCATTGTTAGTTCCCTTCCCAAGATTACGAGACTGAGAAGTGACAGAAACAGTACCTGCCCTAAATCCAATGGTGTGGCAGCACAGTCTTTCCACTACAAACTAGGGGTGTAGTAAACAAAAAATTGGTATCTGAGGACCTTTCAGAAAATCTAAAAACTGCAAGTGAACTGTAAAAAAGTAAAAGTAGAGTTTACATTCTGTATACGAAAAAGTCCTTTTTACAACATCTCTGTTAAATGATTCCTCTTTGAGAAGAGTAACGCAGTCTACAGGGTATGTGCAACAGGGAGGTACACACAGTGGGCACATGGAAAGAAAAGATGTATACTTACCATTGGTAGACAATAAAAACTGAGCAGCATTTTTCTGGGGTAACCACCTAATTTTGTTGATCTTTTCTTCTATTTCTAAACTTTTCAAGTAGTCAAACTCTGGTTCATGGCTCTGGAAGGTGCTGTAAACATTATATTCTCCTCTGCTATGAGACTGGATTTTGTTCTAAAATGGAAACAAAAATATTTGGACCACTGTTGAAAAATATTTCAAAAGAATCAAATATGTAATCAATTGCAAAGGACCCTGCAAATTCCTGATAGCCCATTAGCTGTGTCTTTATACGATTACATTTCATTTTTTTATATTGCCAAAGACATTCAAGGAATAAATGAGAAAACTTAGCGGGGGGAAAAAGGGCTAAACAAAGCTGAATAAATAAGTTCACTTCATTAGGGAAATAATGACATTAAAATATGGATCAATTTGATTGCTAATTTACTATATGTATTTAACAGTATGGAGGCATACTGATGAAAACAACTCTGAGCACCCGTAATAAGGGAGTTCACCTAAAAAGTAGTGATTAAAGAAAGCCTTGCCCAGAAAGACAAGCACACCCTGTTGCTCTGTCCACTTAAGGGTCAACTCCCAATCTGTTATTTAATCTGATGTATTGTCCTTCTTTTCCTTTCTGATGCCCATCATTGGGTTACTTCCCTGCTGAAAGCTTCTTTTAAAAGAAGCACTCGCATAACTGCAGGGATCCAACTTAACGTTACCCTACCTCCCACCCCCAAACCACTGTTACACACAGCTTTGTTACCGATCAAGTCCATGTTCAGCATTACCCAGCAATGGCCCCATGCACCCCCATCAACAACTGCTTACTCCCCTTAAATTGGCTTTGTTATCTTATGAACCAGACACACACTAATGATTAATTTCATTTAGTATCACTATGAAAGAATATAATTTAACCTATCTGATAAAGGGACTACTTGTGGATTACTTCAGTTAGCATTAATATCTCAGCAAAAGTGAGAATTACAATCATATTCAGAATTTCATCTTTTGTCCTATTATATCAAAGAACCACCTATAGATAAAGTTTAAATTAAAAAATAGGTATTACTGACAGTCAAATATTTTAAGTAAAAGTGAGTTATCCAGTGAAATGTTTAGGACTTCTTGATAATAAAAACAGCCTATTGCTATTCTCCATATCAAAAAGAAACTTCACTGAATCATCTTGAAAGTCCGTTTTCGGTTGTTTTTTCCAGTAGCCTGACTATCTGGGTTGTTCATTTACAGATGGGTGTATTTGAGCCCTTGGACAGCAGTGTCAATTATTACAGAGCAAGTCTGCCAATGTTAAGACTGCAGTGTCCCACAAAACGATCCACATGGGGATACATAGGGGGTAAAAATCAGACTCAGAGTCGTGGTCTCATCACCATACCTACATACCAAATTAGACAGCCTATTCCATTAACATATACATTACATATATAAAATACTCCAATATCACCTTAAAGCTCTGCAAATCTTCCACCTAAAATGACTCACCCAGTCTCACAAAGCTTATCATTATACTCTACAAGGAAACCACAATACCACTAAGCAGGCAACTCCATTTTTAATACACATCCTGTGTTTTAGACTGGTTTTTCATTTAACACTTAAAGAGACTACAGTATACAGCACTATGTACACTAAGGCGTAGAGGGACAGAATCCCCACATTTAAGTAACTTGTGTACGTCAAACTTTAGTCAAAGTAGAAACTAGTTACAGTCTACACAATTAAGGTAAGCAATATAAAGGGCCAAGGGTGAGCCACACGTTGTATTTGATGAGTTAAGAAAGGCACAAAACTACAGAACTATTATCTGAAACAGAACATGAACATCTTCCCATAGACTCAAGCACAACAACATAGGTCTACTAAACATGATCTCTTATGGAATCCAAAAACCAAATCATAGAGGTGTATGGCAGTTTCAATGGACTGCAAGAAGCACCATCTCTTTACAACAGGAAATAAATATTTGTATCACAAAATGAGAAAATTCTGTTTAAAAAGTTAAAGATGTCAGGATAAGCACATGCACTAGTCTCCCCTCTCTCCTGAAACTTTACTAAAATGATCATAACAGAATTTTTAAAAACAAGTCCACAAGACAGAGTAATGTAGAAATGACAGTAGCAGTAGCAAAACAGAAAAGACTATAAAACAGATGGGTACTAGTGTTAACTAACAGCAGACTGCCAAGAGCTACAGCAAACTTTTACTAATGCTTGCGGAGGGCATGTTTAGATTATAATGACCACGATAGCACTGTTCCCTGCACAAACCAAGTACAGTAAGCAAGCCTGAATAAAAAGAAACTGAGCCACTCAAATGAGAAAGCATCAAAATCGAAGGCAGCATTTTTGTTTTGAAACCTCACCTACAGTCACAGAGAACTGTGACACATCCTTCAACAATTCATATTGGGTTTACCTGCACAGCATTTTCACCACCCCCTTTTCTTGCTCGCCTTTATCATCACTCTGAGAATCATCTTAACCATACAAACTTTTTGCATGATATTTTCTACAGTAAGTTTAGATGTGCTTTATTCCCCAGCACCTATAACAGCAAGTGGCACATATAACAGGGATTCAATAAAGATTTTCAAACCAGGACACAGAATGAGATATGTCACATACTTTACATACATTAAAAACACAGGACACAAAACCAAAATCACACATTCTCAACAGAGATACAAACAGAATTGACTAGTATATAAAGGATATCATCACCGAGGTTTAAAGCAAAGTTATAAAGACGGTGTACCAGCATGAAGATAGACCAACATGCCAATGAAACAGAACAGACGGTGCAAACAGGCCTAAATGATGACAAAGGCTGCCTTGCTGGGCAATGGGGAAAGGATGGTCTTTTCACTAAATAGTGTTAGGTCAGTTGACTATTCATAGGAAATAAAATAAAGCTCAACCCTTCCCCTAAACCACACATGTAAATTGATTCCAGATGAATTAGAGATATAAATGTGAAGGTACAATAATTAAGTTCTAAGATAGCGCAACCCAACAGAACTTTTCTGCACTGATGGCAACAGTCTGTATCTGCGTTGTCCAGTATGGCGGCCACTAGTCATGGTGAGTACTAGCCACACACAGAGCACCTAAAATGTGGCTACTGCAACTAAGGAAGTTAATTTTACAATTTATTTTTAATTAATTCATATTAATTTATTTATTTGTTTTTAAGGTGGTAAGGCTGACTTTATTCAAAGAGAACCATGGAGACAGGGACCACTGCAACAGGGTCTTGCAGTAGGGGAAAGAATGGACTCAACTCCCCATTAATTTAAATGGCCACACGGATCTAGTGGCTACAGTACAAGTCATCCAGTTCTAAAACATAATGAGACTATTATCTTCCTGGATTTTGGGAAAGAAAAGTAGTAACCCTTAGAAAAATACTGATCAAATGTATTACATTAATAATCTCTATTTATAACTACACTAGTCAGAAAATGAAAAGGCAAATTACAGAATGAAAAATACTTCTAACAAATGTGTGGATTTTTTTTTCAACAGATGGGGTCTTGCTATATTGCCCAGGCTGGTCTCAATTTCCTGGGCTCAAGTGATCCTTCCAATTCAGCCTCCCGAAGTGCTAGGATTACAGGCGTGAGGCCCTGCCTCTGGCTCCTCCAACAAATGTAACGGAGTAAGAGTTCATCTGCAGAAAGTGTAAAGAAAGTCTACAAATCAGTAAGAAAAATGATGTACAACCCAGTAGAAAATTATAAGAGATTTCTAAAGTCACTTCCAAAAGAAAGTATCCAGTCAATAAACATATAAAAAGAAGCTGTGGCCAGGGGTGATGGATCACTCCTGTAATCCAACACTCTGGGAGGCCAAGGCAGAGGACAGCTTGGGGCCAGGAGTTCAAGATCAGCAACAGAGTGAGACCATCTCTACCAAAAGAAAAAAAAATTAGTCAAGTGTGGCGATGCATGCCTGTAGTCTCAGCTACTGTGGAGGCTGAAGTGGGAGGATCACTTGCATCCAGTAGTTTGAGGCTGCAGTGACCTGTAATTGCACCACTGCACACCCCAGCTTGGGCAACACAGAAACAACCTATCTCTAAACAACACAACAACACAATCTCAATGTGAATCAAAAAAGTAAGTACAAGGCTGGGTATGGTGGACCACCTATGGTCAGGAGTTTAAGACTAGCCTAGCTAACAAGTTGAAATGCTGTCTCTACTAAAAATACAAAAATTAGTTGGGCATAGTGGTGTATGCCTGTAATCCCAGCTATTTGGAGGCTGAGGCAGGAGAACTGCTTGAACCTGAGGGGCAGAGGTTACAGTGAGTTGAGATTGTGCCACTGCACTCCAGCTTAAGTGACAAAGCAAGACTTCATCTCGAAAAAGAAAAAAGAAAAGAGAAAATGAGTATAAACTTAATCATACCCACAAAGTGTTAAATTTTGAAAGACTGATAATACAACACAAATACAGCACTGGCAAAGATATAAAACATCCATAAAATTTATATACTGTTCACAAGAATACAATTAGCAGAACCACTTTTTACTGTGCTGTCTGCTAACAGTGAATGCCTACCCTATGGCACAATAATTCTATTCATGAGTGTGCAGCAAAAAACATGAATGAGAATGTTCATAGCAGCATTACTCATTAACGGATAAACTGTAGATTTCATTTACTCAAAGTTGTAAAACTACAGGCCAAAATAAGTGTGAGAAGACAGGCTTATAAAAGAGAGGAAGGGAAAAGAGAATGGTTTTGGAAGTGTGGAAAGTTCTATTTCTTGACTTAAATGTTTGCTAAGTAATAATCTGCTAGTGTTTTACGTACTTTTCTGTGTCTATTTAAATATTTTAAAATATATGCCACACAGCCACTATGGAAAACAATGTGGAGAGTCCACAAAAAAGCTAAAAATAGAACTACTGTATGATCCAGCAATCCCACTTCTGGATTTTATCCAAAAGAACTGAAAATGGGACCTCAGAGGTGTTTGTATATCCATGTCCTTTACAGCAATATTCTCAAGAGCCAAAAAGGTAGACGTAGCCCAATCAATGGTTCCAACAGTCTCTTCATCTCCCTAACTGGGGAGCACTATTTCAACCTGAGAGAACACTGACAGTAGATAAAACTAAACACTACAA